CTAGTATTATTCAGGACAATGCTTTACTAAAGAAATTTATTTAATCTGTGACATTCTTCTTTTGTCTAAATCCTAAAAGCAAACTAGATTTCTGTAATTAAAAAGAGTTGCTTCTGAAATGTGTCCAAAAGAAATTTAACTGCTGGCAGATAAAGGTAATCAGACCAAAAAGCAAAGGGTTCCCCATAAACCCTTACTTCTACCTTAACTTTGGGACTACATAAAGGTTTTTCTGTTCTTTATTAGGTCCAATAAAACACTGGCTGATTCTCTGGATAATGCTAATGACCCCAATGATCCTATTGTAAACAGACTGCTACGCTCTATGGCTACGCAGGCTATGTCTAATGCACTGTATTTCTCTACTGGATCATGTGCGGAGGAAGAGTTCCATCATTATGGTGAATGATAAAATTTTCTTCTGTATGACTGTAAGCTTCAGCAATTTGTTTAAAAAGCATAGACATTTTTTGTTAATTCTGATGTTTTGGTTTCTTTCTGAAGGTCTTGCATTAGATAAATATACCCATTTTACTTCTCCAATAAGAAGATATTCAGATATTGTAGTACACAGATTGTTAATGGCAGCCATTTCAAAAGATAAGAAAATGGAAATGAAAGAAAATCTACTCAGCAACAAGGATCTTGAGGAATTGTGCAGACATATCAACAACAGAAACCGAGTAAGAAGACATTTTACAATTCTTTTACCATCATCTCTTTATTTATTTATTTTTTAAAATTTATTTATATGTGGTACCGGGGATCAAACCCAGTGCCTCACGCATTCTAGGCAAGCGCGCTACTACTGAGCTTTATTATAGAATGGAATACCATACACATTAACAAATTCTAGAATTATTCTAACAATACTCTTAATATATTTGCAAGTATTCTTAGATAACATGTGGTTTTTTAATGACAAAGTCTCACTATGTTGCCCAAGTTAGTCTCAAACTTTGGCTCAAATGATCCTCTGGCCTCAGCCTTCCTAGAAGCTGGGACTACAGGAACACATCAGCATGGTTGTCTTGAATTTCCAAATTTGATGATAGTTTAGATGTTCTTCCCAAAAGGCAGGAATATAAAGATTCAAACAATACATAAAGATAGGAAGACAAAAAATTCACCTAACCCCTTGCCACTCAACTCTAGACAGCGCTAACATTTTCATTTATAAAATATACAATATCTGCTGTTTTAAATTTTTTCATTTATATAACCTATAATTGATAGCATATCATGTTGCTATAATTATATCATTATTTTAGAAGCTACTTTTCATTCTATTTCATATTATTACTAGTAGTTATAAGATTGTATAGAACTAAACCATTGGGTGATGCAGAATATTACAAAGTAAATGTTTAAGACAATATTCTGTATCCAATGTTTGTGTTCTCTATTGTACAATACTGTAGCCACTGGCCACAATGATTATTTAAATTATTTAGAATTAAAAATTCAGTTCACTTGTGGTTAGCAGCCACCTATTAGTAACAGATACAGAACATTTCCATCATTACAGAAAGTTTTGTTTATAACCATCCTAGTACATACATTGTTACGGATTTTTCAGATTATTGCCTAGGTAAATCCTAGAAAGGGAATTACTGAGTCAAAAGGTATACAGAAATAAAATGTTGATGCATATTACTAAATTGCTCAGTAATAGTAGGGCTAATTTACATTTCCACCAAAGAGACAATGGCAGCCCAGCCTTGAAAAAGACAGGACATATATATATAATACTTTTTCTGTGCTCTAAGGACATGTCCCAGATTTGCCAGCCTCTACTTCGATGAACTAAAAAGTTTATTTTTATAAAATTATCTATTTTCTGTGACTTTTTTGATGGGATAATACTGGATATACCAAGTTCTCAAAAAATTGATTTGATTCAAAATAGAAAACAGTTTTTATATTAATAATAGTTAGACATCTTCTAACCTTTTTAAAGACATTTTCTGTAGAAATGTGAATTTCAGGGCTGGGGATGTGGCTCCAGCGATAGCGCGCTCGCCTGGCATGTGTGCGACCCGGGTTCGATCCTCAGCACCACATACAAACAAAGATGTTCTGTCTGCAGATAACTAAAAAATAAATATTGAAAATTCTCTCTCTCTCTCTCTCTCTAAAAAAGAAAAAAAAGGAAAATACTTAAAAAAAAACAAAAAAGAAAAGTGAATTTCAGGTTTCTTCTGGGAATGTCAGGAAGGTCTGTTATAATGCTCGAGGTTGTGCTTCTTCCAGGCAGCACAGCATTCTCAGAAGCAGTCTACTGAGCTCTTCCAGTGCATGTACTTTAAAGACAAGGACCCTGAAACTGAGGAGCGATGCATATCTGATGGAGTTATTTACTCAATTAGAACAAATGGTGTGCTTGTATTTATACCGAGGTATGTTGCATCCAATGCAATAGGTAATAAGAAATCAGAATTAAACTAAAAATGTAGAACCAAAACAGTAAATTTACTAAAATATTTATTTAGGGCTAGGGACATAGCTCAGTGGTAGAGTGCTTACGTAGCATGCACGATGCCCTAGGTTTGATCCCACAGACTGCAAAAAATAATATTAAGCAAGTATTTATAGTTACCATAGATACAAAATGGGGGCAACTGGCCATTTTAGTGTCACCTGGGACCCTGGGCCTCCTTCCTCGGATAGAAGGGCTTGGGCCGGGCCAGCATCCACCTACCTCTTTGGGGCATTCTCTCACCCATTGACCCTTTCCCGAGGGGTTGGTCCCTAGGATACTCTCGAGTACATATGTATGTCCATCTATATCTATTTTAGGATCTTACGTAGCTAAATATTTTGTGTTCTCATTTACTATAGAAAAATAAATAAACCATGGGAAAAGTGGTGTTTTTAATCTAAAAGAAAAACTAGCATCCTAGATAAACATACAATATCTATATACTAAGTACATTATCTCTGAATTTTTATTCTGGCCCTGATTCAGGTTTGGGATTAAAGGTGCTGCTTATCTAAAAAATAAAGATGGTTTAGTGATCTCATGTGGTCCAGATAGCCGTTCTGAATGGAAACCAGGATCTCTTCAACGATTTCAAAACAAAATAATCTCTACCACAACAGCAGGGCAATCTGTTACATTCCATTTGTTTGACCATGTGACAGTAAGTCTATATTTACATTAAGTATTATTTTCATTGTAAATAACAAAGAATTTGATTTAGTAATATGTATTTTTTTCCTCCATGATAGGTAAGAATATCTGTACAAGCCTTGCGTTGCCATTCTGATACAATCAGGCTTGAAATAATAAGCAACAAACCATACATGATACCAAACACAGAACTTTTTCATCAGAGTTCTCTCTTGCTGAAGAGTGAATTAGTGAAAGAAGTGACCAGATCTATGGAAGAAGCTCAGCTTGCCCAAGAAGTCAAAGTAAACATCATTCAGGAAGAATATCAAGAATACTGCCAAACAAAGGGGCAAAGTCTATACACACTTCTAGAGGAGATAAGGGACCTAGCTCTCCTAGATGTTTCAAGCAATTACAGAACATAAAATATTCTTTGAACTTTATCTTATGTGTTTTAACATTCTTTCAAACTTCTAATTTGGTGTTACTCAGGACTACAGTTGCTCAAGATTGGAGAGGTATTTCATATATGTATAAAATGTTCTTTCATAATTCACTGAAGTTGTTAAAAAGTAAAACTAGATTACTAAACTGATTTTTCAGCTAGGATGACGGTGCAAAGCAGGTTGCTAGCCTAGTTTTCATCTTATCTCAAATCAATTCTTACCCAAAAAAAAGGTCTTATTGAAAAAAATAATTGCCTCATTGGGACAAAAGTGCCAGTGACATAGTCCTTTCTAACATCTATCAAATAACTTTTCAATCACTTTCAGGAAAGACCCAGTCCTGTCCATCTATCCACTTTAAAACTCCTCTACTTCAAACTTTCCCAGTTGTCCCAGCACCAGATGGGGACAGGGCATAGAGAGGGCACTGGGATACACAGCAAAGTCTTACCGCAACTCTCCTTTCCCACACCACCCCCATTATGTTGTGTATTCCTCTGATAATGAGGTATGTTGGATTCCACTTGTTGGAAACTTATTAAATGCCAGTAAATCCATCACTGGAAAAACAACCCCCCCCCCAATCCCCTCCTCATCTAGGATCATGATTATGGACAGAGGCCTGAATAGGGACTCCTGGGAAGCAGTTTCTCTAGGCAACAATGGCAACTCCATCATCTAGCTGACTGCTTATTGGCAACAATAAACCATGATCCTCTTGATACACATGCCTCCTGGCCCATCACTAATGGCAATTTGTATCAAACATACAATCCATACGTTATTCTTGTGCTTCCTGGATTTTCAATCAAACCATCTTTGTCACTTCCTCTCCCTATCTGAAGTCAGAAAGCCTGAAAAGCTCTGTGAAGATGCCCATCTCTCCTGGCTTTATGGATGGAAGCAAATGTAGCACCATCATTCCACTCTTTTCCTAAGAGGTAAAAGCATTTCTTTATAACTTCCTAAAAACTGGCTTAGTTCTTTCCCTCCTCTCCATAGCAATCTCCTACCAAGAACCAGACCTTCTTTAAACTTGTTGTCAACATGATCCTTTCCCATCTCTAATTAACCTCTATCAAACTGATAAAGCAGGCAAGGAGAACTCTAATCAGGTCCTTTCTCCATCTGGTCCCAACATTTATAGCTTCATAGTCACCAGTCCCAAATCTTCCTTATTTCCTAAATCTTTATCTCTGTGTCATTGTACAATGTTCTTCCTAATACTTGGACCCAACTGAAAGGTCAATCTGTTGAATTCACCTATGAATCATCCCTCAGTCTGTGTTACTCATAATATTGGGCAAATTTCCTCCCAACTATTCAAAAAGGTACCAAGGAGCATTCTTTGAACTTCCCCAGAATCTATGATGGTTAGATAATACGTTGACCTTTCATTTGCCCTTTTAATTATTAAAGTGACTCCCCAAACTACAGGCAACACTGTGAACATTTTATTAAAAATATAATTGCAGAACAGTGATCAAACACACAAAGTTTCCAAAGACATTTTTATTTCTTTTTAAAAAACAGACATTAGGGGACTAGGGTTGTGGCTTAGCAGTAAAGTGCTCCCCTAGGACATGTGGGGCTCTGGGTTTGATGCTCAGCACCACATAAAAATAAAATAAAGGTATAGTGTCCAACTAAAACACAATATTTAAAAAAAAAAAACAGACATTTAGTGGGCTGAAGGTGGCAGAAAATGCTCTAAATAAAATACAAAGCAGGGCTGGGGATGTGTCTCAGTGATCGAGTGCCCCTGAGTTCAATCCCCAAGTACCAAAAGAAAAAAGTGACACACACCTGTAATCCTAGCGGCTCGGGAGGCTGAGGCAGGAGGATTGTAAATTCAAAGCTAGCCTCAGCAGCTTAGTGAAGCTCTAAGCAACTTAGCAAGATCCTGTCTCTAAACAAAATTTTAAAAGTGACATCAAGTCAGGCTTGGTGACACATAATTGCAATCCCAGTGATCCGGGAAAAAGGTAGGTGGATCACAAGTTGAAGGACAACCTCAGCAATTTAGCAAGACCTGTCTTAAAAAGGGCTCAATGGTATAGCACTCCTAGGTTTAATTCCCAGTAGCCCCCCCCCAAAAAAAATTTAAATACATATTTACATCTTAAAACATGCAATTTAGCGGAAATAAGGCATTTAATGCACACTAGTATTAGAAGCTGCTTAACAAATCACTTTATGAAGTCATATCTATATATAAAAAGACTTTACTAATATTACTGACAATTATAAATAAATATCAGAGTTTAAACAAGAATCCACAAACATTTTTACTACATAAAGGTTTTCTTACAAAGCAGACAAAAGACACAATAATAACTTTGATAACACTTCTGGATGAAGCATAAAATTACCTTTGCACATTTTAAAAGGATTGGTCCAGTTGTGTTTCCTCTAATTTTAATTGCTCCTCTTCATTTACAGAAGCATCATTATGTGAACTGACTAAAATGTCTTTGTTTAATCCATTTGACTCCTCATTTTGATCTTCATCAATACAAATCTCTTCAACTGTCTGTGCCTTGGGTGTATTCATTAACATTTCTAAAGGAAAAATTATATTATCATTATTCATAAGGACCCGATTCAATCTTATATCCAAGGTATAAATATCTTCAAAAGCTTGGGTTAGTAGAAATAAAACCTATGATCATTTAATTATGATTACTTTTTTTGTTGTTAACCATGGATTGAACCCAGGGGGACTCAACCACTGAGCCACATCCCCAGCCCTTTTTTATACTTTATTTAAGACAGGATCTTTGGGACTGGGGATGTGGCTCAAGCGGTAGCGTGCTCGCCTGGCATGCGTGTGGCCCAGGTTCGATCCTCAGCATCACATACCAACAAAGATGTTGTGTCCGCCAAAAACTGAAAAATAGATATTGAAATTCTCTCTCTAAAAAAAAAAAAAAAATTTTTTTTAAAATAAAGACAGGATCTCACTGGGTTGCTTAGGGCCTCACTGAGTTGCTGAAGCTGGCTTTGAACTTGCCATCCTGTTGCTTAGCCTCCTGAGCTACTGGGATTACAGGAGCCATTATACCCAGCTTGATTACACCTAATCCTATATGAGATTTTTACACTTGTATACAAGTCCGCTTAAAATGCAAAGGGTCTTGGGGCTAGGTGAATAGCTCAGTGGTACTATGTATGCACTTAGCAAACCCCTGCTCTATTCTAGGGATCAAACCTGGGATGCTTTACAATGAATTACATCCCAAGCCCATTTTATTTGATAAACAGTTTTGAGCTGGGGTTATGGCTTAGTGGTAAAGCGCTCGCCTAGCATGTGGAAGGCCCTGGGTTTGATCCTCAGCACCACATAAAAATAAAATAAAGATATTGTGTCCAACTACAACTAAAAATATATATATTTTTAAAAAAAGAGTCTTGCTAAACTGCTGGGACTGGCCTCAAGCCTGTGATCCTCCTACCTCAGTTTCTCAAGTAGCTGGGATTATGGCATGGGCCACCACACCTGGTGCAAAGGGTCTTGAATGATACTAAACTCCAACTTTTAAAAAAATTTTTGGTATTAGGATACTTTACCACTGGGTTATAGCTTCAGCCCTTTTTATTTTTTTTAGTTTGAGACAGAGTCTTGCTAAGTTGTTTAGGGCCTCACTAAATAGCAGAGGCTGCCCTTGAACTTGTGATCTTCCTGCTTCAGTCTCCCAAGCTGCTGGGATTTTAGGCATGCACCACTGCACCTGTCTTAAATTCAAACTGCTGACTCACAAGTGTAACTTCTCATTCAAAATCAGAACTACTTGAAAGAAGTTCAAAAAACCAAATGCATAATAATTTTGTCAAAGTGATCTAAAGTAAAGAAAATTTAGGAAAATTACTTTTATTTGGGCAAATTTTAAGTTATATCTTATAAAGAGGTCAGACTTAAATACCTATTACCAGGTATATATTGAGAGGGCAAGAAAGCTACTACTGTTAATTTTATCTTCATGTAATTTATTTTTGTAGTTGTAGATGAACAGAATACCTTTGTTGTATTGCTAAGCATTGGACCCAGTGCCTCACACATGCTAGGTAAGTGCTCTGCCACTGAGCTATAGTCCCAGCCCAATATTCATGTAATTTTTCACATGGTACTAATAAAACATTGGTAAAGATAAAAACTAAGTTCATTTTAGCTGAAAAAAATATCATGATTGGTAGTCACAATATTTAAGAATGTTGTAATATTAAGTGAAACTTGTTTTACAATATGGTCTTTACTTACCATATAATTATTTTTCCCACTTTGAAGGAAAAATCTAGAAATTGAGAAAACTTTTGATTCTTTTTAAAAAATAGTTTTAATGCTTATTTATATAGCATCTAACCCCATAATCATTTTTAAAAACAGCAAATTTAGAGCTGAGGATATATAACTCAACTGTAGAGCAGGTACATTATCATACACAAAGCTGTGGGTTCAATCCCTGGCTCCAAATAAATAAAGAGCAAATCTTAAATTGGGAAGGGATAAGCAAATGAACAGCCACCAAAAGTACACCTCATAACAGAACATAATACAATAAAAAGAATTTAGTGGTTGTGGCTCAGAGGTAGAGCGCCCGCCTAGCATGTGCGAGGCTCTGGGTTTGATTCTTTTTTTTTTTTTTTAAGAGAGAGTGAGAGAGGAGAGAGAGAGAGAATTTTTAATATTTATTTTTTAGTTCTCAGCAGACACAACATCTTTGTTGGTATGCGGTGCTAAGATTCGAACCCGGGCCGCATGCATGCCAGGCAAGCGCGCTACCGCTTGAGCCATATCCCTAGCCCCTGGGTTCGATTCTTAGCACCAATAAAAATCAATAAAGGTATTGTGTCTAAAAAATAAATATT